AGCTAGCTAGCTAGCTAGCTAGCTAGCTAGGTAGCTAGCTAGCGAGCCAGCTAGCTAGCTGGGAGGCGTAGTTATTGGCAGCTAATTAGTGGCGCGGAAGCCTGGACAAGGACTTGTTGAAATTGTAGACCCTCGAGTTGCGGCGCTAGTGTCTCTAGCTAGCTAGCTAGCTGGCTAGCTAGCTAGATAGCTGGAGACACTTTCGCTAGCCTTTGGCTAGCTGGAGTGTGGAGCTAGCCGCCTCTCGGCTAGCTAGCCGGCTGGCTAGCTAGCACGCACATGGTGGCTAGCTAGCTGCTAGGCAGCTAGCCAGCACGTATTTGTTGGCAAGTCAAGTGCTAGGCAGCCAGCTAGCTAGCTAGCTAGCTAGCTAGCTAGCTAGCTAGCATGGAAGTGGGGGGGCCCCCGCCGCGGCGGGAGGGCGGGGGCGGGCCGCGGGGGCCCTCCCGCGGCGCTGTGCGCTGGAGCTTCTTTAGGACTCCGCGGCACTTGGCCATGACGGGACTGCTCCTCGGGCTCTCCTTGCTCGCGGAGCTCAATGTTTTCTTCTTGATGACGGCCCTGGACCTGCACGCCACGCACTGGGTCAACCCGCTCCGGCTGCTGCTCCTCGGGCTGCTGGCCTTCCCCGCGGTCGCGGAGTTCTACGCCCAGCTCCAGCGCAGCAGCAGCAGCAGCAGCAGCAGCAGCGGCGGCGGCGTGGGGCCCAACGTCTTTCTTTTTGTCTTCATTTTGGCGGCAGAAACCCTCGTTGCTGCCAAGTACGGCAGAGACAGATTCCACTACAAGAGCCCCCCCAAAGATGTCCTGCTTCCCTGGATCCTCGCTGCTGCTCTCTTCGCCGCCTGGTGCTGCTCCTACTTCAGCCAGCAGCAGGGGGGCCCCCCTCCCCCGGGGGGCCCCCAGGCGCAGGGGGGCCCCCCGGGGGAGGACGCGGAGAAGGCTTGCGAGGGGGCGTGTGGGGTGTTTAGGACTTTGAACAACTTCAAACGGTCTGCTGCCAGACTGCTCCTCAAAATGCCGCCCCAAGCCTGCTTCATTCCTCTTCTTTACTTGGCCAAAAACTACTACTATGGAGAACCCCACACCCCACAGCCAGCTCCCTAGACACCCCCCGCGCTCGACAGACACCCCACGCGCTGTACAGACACCCGCGCAACTCCAGACACGCGCCCCAGCCACGCCCACACCCGCTGCTGCTGCTGCTGCTGCTGCTGCTGCGGCGGCGGCGGCGGCGGCGGCGCGGCGCAGCGACGGCGGGGCTTAGGCCGCCAAGCGCGCAGAAACTACCTAGCAGCCGCGCTGCAGCAGCTGCAGCAGCAGCAGCAGCAGCAGTGCACTTTGTGTTTCTAGAGGCTCCGAGGCGAAATGCCCCAAGAGCCAACTGGCTAACAAACCAAATCAACTGGAAATTTACTCTTAATAGAATGAAACAGCAGCTCCGGTGGACGTTCACCCCAAATGCCCCAAAACACCTACAGTCTCCAGCTGCTAGGGACACGCAGCCAGCAGCAGCAGCTAGTCCGACGTAGCAGCAGCAGCAGCAGCAGCAGCAGCAAAAGTAGGCTCGAACGAAATAGAACTAAAGCACCAGCGGGACTCGGCTTTTGCTGCTGCAGCACGAAACTGAATTTGCAGCTAGCTAGCCCAACTAGCCACTGGCTCAGAGGCAGCCCCTAGAGATGAAGAGGCACAGCGAAGCAAGGGGCGCCTGCAGCGCACGAGCAACAGCAGCAGCAACTGCTGCTGTTGCTGCTTCTCCTTGCTGCTTCTGCGCGAGTTTGAAGCGCCTGCAGCTGTTGGCCCTCTGCGCCGGGGGCGGGGGGCTGCTGCAGCAGCCCAGTTTGTGCCGCAGCAGCGCACTTTTTGCTGCAGCAGCGCATCTTGGGCTGCAGCAGCTGCGCACGGCGCCTCTCGAGGCAGCAGCAAGAAGACGCTTTGCTGCTGCAAGTCTCTTGGCTTAACGCATTAGGCCGTTCGCCTTCGGCCTTCAGTTGCTGCTGCGTCGCTCTGCTGCTGCGCTGCTGTGCTGCTGCGCTGCTGCCTGCCATGCTGCAGAGTTCAAACTCTGCAGTCACTGGCTGAGCAGCAGCCCAGCGGCAACCCCTGGCTAGCCAGCTGGCTAGCCAGCTAGCTAGCCAGGGGGGTTGAGCTTTGGCATCGCATAGGAGCATGGGTTGGCTGTAGCTAGCTCACGCACAGCTCTTGCAAATATAGAAAGACGAAGTGCTGCACCGCAGCCTGGAGTTGAAAGCTGCTGCTGCAGTTCTTTCCCCCAAATGGCATTAGAGAAGGGATCGGAGGTGCTATAAAAACAAAAGATAATATTTAAAAATTAGAGTTTGGAGATGAGTGGGAAAGCTTGCTGTTTGAGCTCGCAGTTGAGCGCTAAGTGCTTGCTGTACTACTGCGCGGGCGGAGAGCAAGCAGCCCAGTGCAGCCGCTGCAGAAAAGAAAAAGTCCTTTTTCCCGATTTTTCTTTAAGTTTGCCAAATGATTAAAAATTAAGTCTTCGTGCAGACTAGTTTGGAACCTGAGCCGCCCGTTGACTGCGGAGCTGCCGCAGCTGCCAGGGTCACCTGGAAGTGAAGGGCTCGGCCGGGCCGCAACTGCTCGTCGCATGAGATCCTTTGTTTCAACTGGATCAAATTACACTTTCAAAAATAATATTTTGAAAAGAATCTTTTCATTTGGGCCGCGCGCATGCACCGTTGAGACACGTTGCCGGAGCCCGGAGGCGCCAGTGGTGCTGCTGCGCTGTGAAATCGGAGGGAAGCGCTGAGCCAACTGAGGAGCCTTTGAAAGATCTCCATTAAAAAGGTCTTCAGGAGTTATCTTTTGCATAAATGCCAATCTCTATGCTCTTATCTCATTGCTGTACATTGTTCGGGTCGCTTCATGGTGGGCCGCGGCCACTGGTAGCCGCCACGGGAAACCGAACATAGGGAAGCGCAGCGGCCTCAGGCGTCTTCAGTTTTCCAATTAGGTAATTTTCAGAACATTAGTGGACTTCTTAGGAATGCAAAGACGCAAAAGGATTTACTGGACTGAACAACACGCGGCAGGTTCAAGAACAGCTGCTGACGGTGGTGTGCAGAAGGTTCCCCGACTTGAATTAAAAACTTGCAAAGGAGGGAGTTGTGCACGCGGAGCAGAAGCATCTGTGCATTTCTATGAATTGCGAAACTGCTGAGAAATCCCCTTCCTTCTGCTTCCCAGTGACCACTGGACTCCCGAGGAAACGTATGTCCGGAGCCCCATCCTATGATCGCCGCTGCAGAGTTTCAGCCCACCTAGGCGATTCTTCTAGGTAGCTTCTGCTTATAGACCTTCAGTGGCAGCTTCCGCCGCTTCTCTAGCCAGAGAAAAGTCTAATATGGGGCAGCTGCTGTCGCTGGGGCCCTCGGGGCTCCCATTTGAGCTCCAGGAAGGAGCCAACATGTGGCACGCGCTCATTTGGGGAGTGGCCATCGGGCAGATCGTCTTGGGGATTTTGTATAACATTTTCGCCGGCGAAAACCCGTGAGAAACTGCTAGAAGAAGCAGTTTCGCAGCAGCAGTTCAAGCACGCCACGGCGCCTGTAGCTGGGTTTTACCGGCTAGATCCGGCACTTCTTTCTCCTTTCTCGGCCCTTTTATCTTCCTGTCTGAGCCCGCTTTAATACTAGTAATGCATTATGATATATATTCTGCATGCAGGCTCCCTTGGGGAAGGTTTCGAAGCCGCACGAGCCCCCAGTGGGGCCCGCTGGTGCCCACCTGGGCAGCGTGGATGCTGCAGGAATTGCCTTCTGCACTTATACCTGCTGCTGTGCTTCTGTGGTCTCAGTTTTGCCACGGTGGGTCTAGCAGCAGCAGCAGCGGCTGTGGGCGTTGGCTGCTGCGAAGGGCTCTAGCGGGTTCAGCAGCAAGCAAAGTTGCTGCGGCAAGTTGCTGCTGCTGCGCCCCACGCCCATACGCTTTGCTTATATGCTCTAGAGGACTGTTTTCGAGGCTTTTTTGTGCAGGAAAGCTGCTTAATTTGATCGTTGTGGCGGCTTTCACGGTGCACTACTTGCACCGGGTGTTCATCTACTCGCTGCGGCACTACCGCTTTCCAGAGTGCCGCCGGCGGGATACAGTGCCTCTGCTGCTTCCGTTGTCAGCTTTTATGTTTTGTTTCGCAAACGGACTGGCGCAGAGCCTCAGCGGCTGCTACTTCAGCTACGCGAGGGAAATGCGGGGCCTGCGGTACCTGTTTCCCAACTGGGCGCCGCAGGAAGACAGCGATTTGGAGCTGCTGCAGAAGACCAGCCTGTGGGACACGCTGGCGCTGCTGCGTTTCGCAGTGGGACTCGTTATTTTCGTTTATGGAATGGCTGTGAACATCCTCGCAGATGAGCACCTGCTGCAGCTGAAAACAGTGCGTGCGCAGGAGGTCGCGGCGCCGCACGGCGCAGCCGCTTCCCCCGCAAACAACGAAGGAATTGTCACTTTGAGAAGGTCTTCACGCATTGCGGCCAAAAAGGACGGAGATAACTTCGTTACTTTCAAGTACAACGCCCACCCACACGGCGCAGGCCTCACCGCATACAAGATCCCGCGGTGGGGGTGGTTCAAGCAGGTTTCTTGTGCGAACTACTGGGGAGAAATCTGCGAATGGTTCGGTTTCGCAATAATGTGCAATTCTGTAGTTGCCTTGTCCTTCGCTGTCTTCACTCTTTTGTTCCTCGGACGCCGCGGAGTCCAAACGCACAAGTGGTACAAAACCCGATTCGCAGGGAACTACCCAGAGAACCGCCGCGCGGTTATTCCATACGTGCTGTAACTAATATTTTATTTACACTTGTTAAAATGTGGAAGGGAGTCTCGCAACATCGTGGGCCGCACGTTTCATATTGAAATGTCACGGACCACTGAGTGCAGCGAGGAGGCGCAGCTGACTCGCTCGATTTGCTGTTGTTCTTTAGGCTGAGCTGTAGAGTAGTGTTTAGACAATTGAAGATAATTAAGTTTAGTGGCCTACTTGACTTGTCTGTCGCGCGATCTAGGCGCCAACAGCTTACCACGACTCCCGGGCGCCCGCTACGGGGAAACAGAGTGAGCGAGGCCCGGAGATGCAGCAGTAGGGGGCGCTGCTTCTCTCTGTTCTTTTCAATTTTAGCGCTTATTGCTTATTGTGAATTTATATACAAGTTTTAACCGTGGCAGAATTGCGAGCTCGCAGTTTCACCCTGCTGCCACAGATGCCTCCGCTCTGTGGCACCGCCGCCTCCCGGACACGCGCCCGAATCCAAGGAGATCTAATTTCCAGCCCAAGGCACTTTTGCATTATTTTTCAGCGTTGAGTCGGCAACTCCGCAGAGAAATCTACGCATTTTACGCCAAGAAAATGCGCAGCAGCCACCAGCAGCAAACATCTACTTCACCATGACTGTGCAACTCTCCGCAGCAGACCAGACCATCTCGCTACGGGTCGCCGCAGCGGAAGCCCCGTGACTTTCTCGCCTTGGCCTCAATTTCCAGCATCAATAAACACATTAGAGCCAAGTGACACAAGAATAGAGTAAATACGCCTCCCCTCAGTCTCCAGCAGCCTGCCCCTGAGGGTCATTGGGCAATGAATAAGCCACGTGCTCTGGGCTTGCCCGAGCTCCGCCGCTCGGGAAGAACACACTTATTCGTATAAAAATTAACAGGCAGCCACGCTCCTAGCGCACACTGACGCGCCGCCGCCGCCGTTTCGCCGCAGCCCCACCAGCCAAGCCGGCGGTCCAACAAATCGCATAAGCACGCAAAGGCGCATGCTCGCCCGTTCTGCCCTGCTTTCGCTGCGCCCCGCAAGCCCTCGTGTTCTAGGCGATGTCGTGCACTACAGCCAACAAAAAAACGCTAGGTTTCTGGCGCGCTCCTTAGCAACACCGGCCCCGGGGGCCCCGCCCGTGGCTGGGGGCCTCCGCCGGGGCCCGTGCAGATTTGCAGAGCCGTAACTCAGCCCTAAGTGCTGTCAAAGCTACCCTTCTGAGGCCCCACGAATGGCGGCTCGGGCGCCGTCCCCAGTGACATGCAACAGGGGTTCTTTCTCGTTCGATGTGTCTTGCTTACGGTCACACGGCATACACCTGAAAGTTGCAGAAGGGCATTACCTCTGCCTCTTGCCGACCGCTTCGGGCTGTCATTTCTTCTCGTCCCTGGCCCACGTTCTGGCCTTCTGGCCGCAGGGGCAGCAGCTGCTGCTGCAGCTGCTGCTGCGGGTGTGGCGAGCCGGCTGCAAGTGTCGGTGGGCTGTGCTGAGTGGAGGCCTTGGAATACAGCTGCCGAATGGGCTGCTTCTCTGGCCTCCAGAGAAATATGGTTTCTTCGAATGGCGAGATCAGACTGGCGCCGTCACTGTACGGGCCTGTGCCTAGAAACTCCCTTACTGGCAGCCTGTCTTGCAGAGGCAGAGGCTGCGCAGGCGCCACTGCAGGCGGCGGCACGAACTCTGCCAAGTGCATCCAGTGGTCCTTGAAGGGTGCACAGGGTGGCTGGTTGTCGTACAAGGCACAAAGAGCATCCGCATCAAAGCACGACTCTGGGGCTTTGGCCCACATCGACTCGCACGCGAACAGCCACAAGGTGTGCACCTTCTTCAAGTGTTGAAACGACCTTTCCCTACCAACACACGACCACAAAAATGCATTCTAATGCACCACTTGCAACTCAGCCAGCGCTGCAGATCTGAACACTACTTGCTACCCAAACAGCTCTCGCTGCCGCGCCCTCGCGCCAAGACCCACTTCAGTGCCAGCATGTTATTAGTGTTGCTCTTTCCTGCCATCACATGGGTCACGCCGGGCTCGTCGAAGCGTCTGTACACTGTAGCCCCCAAACGCTGCGCCAGCTCGGCTTGCCTCTCTTCACAGTCAGCTACCAGACTGCCGGGTGCAAAGGACTTCCTGTAGCCTGTCAGGAACAAGCCAACACCGGCTAGCACGCGTGACTGAAAGCCGCTTATAATTGTGCCAACGCTGAGAGCCACAGGAAACCGCAACCACACAACAACACCTGCGTTTCAGACAGATGGAGCCGTTTCCCACACGCACACAAGGGCCGGCAAGCAGCAAAGTTTCCTCAACTCGCCCGCAGGCCTTTACAGGCGACGCCAAACTGCTACTCCTTAAGCGAAGCAGGAAGAGTACAGCAGAAGCTGTTCGTTGCGGGTAATGCTGCCTTATGGGCAAGCAGCTATGCAGCTAGACGCCGCTTTTCGTTTTCTCACTTGGCGTTCCAAGGATCCTTGAAGAATTCCTGGTGGACCTTTAGGAATATATTAATCATGTGCTGCATGTGTCTGTCCCAGTCATAAGGTCTGTTCAAATGTTTCATTGCAGCCGGTACCGGTGAAGGCCTGTCTAGAGCCGTGGCCCTTTGCCTCGGGTTCTCAGCTATTGCGGCTAATGTTTCCTCTAAGGGCAAGTGAGGGTAGTGGGCTAGCAACTCAGGCCTCGACGAGTCAAAGAAATCGTAGTGCTGCGCCTTCACCACGTGCGAAACGGGAAGATCCGTCCAAATGTTCTGCCGGTCATCAAATGCAACAACACACCGGCGGTCCAGGTCCCCGTACAGACACCGCACTGTTTTGTTTTCCGTCTGTTCTCCTCTCCCCGACGACTCCCGCGCAACAATGCTGCAGAACAAGCACCCACAGGCAAGCACAGGCCTTTATGCAGAGGCCCCGCGGCATTTGCACTTGTGCAAACAGCAAACAGCTGCACTGCATGCGCGTCCGCAGCCAGACACTGCCGCCACAAAATGCCACTTTTAAGAAAAGCTAATGCAGACAAAGGCGGCCCGCAACGAGCTGAGCTGCCTCCACAAAAGCAGCGAAAACAAATGCACAGCAGCAGCTGCTGCATACACTGCCCAGCGTTCAGCCTCAGCAATAACAGCAAATACATCTGCCCGCAGGCCAATGGCCCTCCACCGTCGCCATTAAATTGAAGGCAACAATTGAACAACTCCCTTTGCATGATATATTTGGCGAGCCAGAAGCAGCAGAAATGCTAAGGCCGCGCGCAACTTGCAATTGGGAACGCAAATAAACACAAGGCCATTGCGCATTAAGGTCAGCTGCTCTTCGTCAGACACCAGTTCCTCCCCATCTTCAAGTTGGCGCTGCTGCACAAGCGCGCCGCTCCGCAGCAGCAGCCTTTGATCCGAAGTGTCTCTGCTGCTCCTAAGTGTTTCCCCAGACGCCGCTGCTCGCAAGGCACTGCGCAATTGAGACCCCTTTGCCGTGCAAATAAATACTGCTGTAACCTCTGCTGCAGCGAGCGGCAATTGCCGCAGCTGCCTCGCCGCCTTTATGGCAATTCAGAGCAACACAGCACTTGCATTCCACGGAGAAGTCCAAGAAGCTCAAGAAGATTTGCCACTGTCACCCGAGGCCCCTGCGCCTCCCATGCAACGTTCACTAGCCGCATGCAAGAGGTCACAGTGCTTTCTGCAGGCTCTGCAACGCTGCGAAAGACCTGCTAGGAACTGCTACGGGCTCGCGCTGCTGCTGCAGCTGCGGCAGCAGCAGCAGCAAAATCCAAGACAGCCTGCGGCCAAGGTCTCGAACCGCCGAAGAAGCAGCAACTAAGGCCTGTGCACGGCACGCGTCCAACCCCTCGCAGCGACGCTGCACGCGAGCCTTGTGTGTGCAGGCCGACAGGGTTTTCACAAGCGATGAGACTGGAATCATTCTCTGCAACTGGAAATGCACTGCCACCAACCACACAGCCCCGCTAGGCCGACACAGACTGAACCGTGGAACAAAGACAACGGATATCACAGCAAGACGCGAGCGCAATTCAATTCATTGCAGACTCTCCCGTGGCAGTGCTGTCCTTCAGCATCGCGCCCTGTTGCTGCTTAGTTCGCTGATCATCGGCGTGTTTGCATGCGTGCCCTGCTGCTGTGGTTTGCTGCGTTGCGCTTCACGAGCTAAAGCCCGTAGCTACCTTTTGCATGTAGCAGCCCTTTGCCGCTGCAGCTAACGGGAACGCGGGGAGCTGGCCTCGCTACGGCAAGCCAGGCATTTCCCCGTGCAAACGCATGCGGCGTTTTCGATTTGTAAAGCCCTGCGGCTTCTCGCAGTCGAGCCACAGTCGCTGCTACAGGCATTTTCACACGCGGCACAGAAACAGCATTACTGCCAGGCGACAGCAACAGTAGGCGGCTACCACTGGCCCATCCCTTGCGATTCCCCTCAAGTGCATTTCAGAAAGCATGAACAGCTGGCTGAAACGAGACTGCGCAGCGCGCACAGCTCGCGGAAAGGCTATTGGAATAAACCCAACCCCGCTGCGGCGATCACGCCAGTTTCACTGCAACCCCTCGGCCGCCGTCTCACAGTTCGTGCACAGTGAACGCATGCATGCTTCGCATGCATGGGTTGCATGCGTGCGTCGCATGCATGCGTCTTTTTGTGCCGCTGCAGCGAAACTCGTGGCCACGAACCGGTGCTGTTTCTAAAGGGCGTCGCCGGCGGGCGGGGCACTGCCACATGGAAAGCACTTTGGCACTTGGCGAAATTCAATTCTTACGAAACACCTGGAGGACGGCGAGAGGCTTTTTTCAGAGAGTCAGAGGCGGAGTTGAGTTGAAGTTGGCCGAGTTCACTACACAGCTTATACAGGTTCCGCTAGCATTTCAAGTGGCGGACGCCGCATGCATCCTTTGTTCCCGCTACGCCGTGCACGCACCAGCGCTCCCCTCTAGCTAAGCAGCAGCAGCAGCAGCAGCAGCAGCACAGCAGCAAACACCTACCGGTCGCCGAAAAGAGACCTGTCGGGATCCAGAATGGCCACCACCAGGTCCGCGTACTCCTGAGTCGCATTCGTGTAAATGCTAAGTTCAAAAACGGGGGCCAGAGCTTTCAGAAAGCGCCGCAGTCCCGGCCGCAGCTTCAAGTAGTATACTTTCCTGTTGCAGGGCAATTCGAACTTGTACACTTCCGGCAGCCCGTCTTCGTCGAGCCAGTCTTCAAGGGCTATGTTGTAGCCAGCCACTCCCACGGCTTGTGCATGCAGCAGCGTGTTGTCGAGGTCCAGCAGCAGCGGCAGCTTCCCCGACAGCAGCGGCTGCCGCCGCAGCTGCGGCGGCAGCACGCTAGGGTCCCACTTCGCCTGCTGCTGCTGCTGCTGCGGCTGCTGGCAGGGGCTCTCTTGGGGCTCCTGCGGCTCAGGCTGCGGCTGCGGCGCCTCGGTGGCTTCCGCCGATAGCGGCTGTGCTGCTGCCTCCTGCTGCTGCTGCTGCTGCTGCCGCTGCGCACTAGTTTCAGCCCGCGCCCTCGCGGCCAACCTGGGGTCCCGCCGGACGGTGCTAGGCGCTGCTGCCGGCGGCTGCTGCTGCTGCTGCTGAAACGGGGGCGAAGCCGGTTGTGGCCCCTGCGCAACGTGCTGCGCGGGATCTGCAGCAGCCGTCAGCGCGGGCGCCGGCTTGCCCACAGCAGCAGCAGCAGCAGCAGCAGCCTGCGGCGGGAAAGCCGCAGGTAAGCCCTGCAGCTGGCCCAGGGAAGCTTGCTGCAGCGCCTGGAGCGCGGGGCCCTCCTCATCAACTTCCCCCTCCTCAACTTGCGATACTTCACTCATTTCTTCCGCCTCGAGAGCTGCAGCCCCCGGGAGGGCCCCGTTGGAGCGGGCCCCCGGGGGGCCCCCCTCGGGGACCCTCTCCTCGACCCCGCGAAGCGCTGCGGGGGGGAGCTGCTGCGGGGGCGCAGCAGGCGCCTCGGGCAAGCGCACGAGCTTACACACTTCATTGTAAGCTACACAGAAGCGCCTGGGGCAAATTCTGCCAGTGTAGTAGTCAATTATCTGGTCTGCGTAGACGCTGCAGCAGACAGCAGGCATGCTGCAGCCCTGCAGCGGCGCTGCACAAGCCAGCTGCCCGTCCACCACCTCCATAGCCCCCACCCTCCCCCCCAGGCCCAGAGGCGGCACTCTCGCGGCCCCCGGGGGCACCCCGTGAGGCAGCAGGCCAGCCCGGGCCTCGTACGGGGCTGCGCGTTCCTTACGGAGGCCCTGGCCTTGGTGGCGGCGCCTGTGCGGCGCTGTGGAATGCATAGGCACAGACCCGTGCGGCGGCTCGGCCTCTCTCTCGGGCCTTGCGCGGGCCTCTCGCGGGTTAAAGTGACGCGACTCTTGCCCGGGGACTAACCCAAGGCCACTTTTCCACTGCTGTTCATGCGATTCGGCAATTGTTGCGCGCTGGCTGCCCCGCCAGCCTCCGCCACCGCGGCCCCTGCCCCGGCCTCTGAATCCATCCCTCATCTGTTCAACAAATCTGGTGCTTAACTATGTTTATGTTATGCCTAGAAACCGTGTAAGCAACCCAAACTCTCTGCAACGGCTCCTAAAGAATGCCCTCCGACACCTGCACACTAAGTGCTGCCACGCCACACGCAAGCGCAGAAGCCTGCTACAGTGCACAGAGCGCCCGGTGGGCTGCTTTACGAGAGACTTGCTCGTCTCTGCTCCACAACAACTGTCTGATTATTTCATGATTTTGAAGATCACATGCCTCTCACATCAAATCAAGGAGAAGCGGCACTTGAACCACCCTGCTCACCCTGGTGCGGGTGCTTCCTGCATACAGCCCCGCGGTACCTTCATCCTGGCTGTCTGGTGGCACCAACCGCTATCTTGATGGGGCACTTTGCGTTACACTAAATTTTTTATGATACCTACTGTTGTAATACTTTCAAATACTACTCATTCTTTGATTTAAATCGGCCCGACTGGAAAGTTGGACACTTGGAAAAGCTGCACGAGCCGGCCTACGGGGCACACCAGAGCGGTAACCTTTTGTGTTTTTTGCAAGTTGTAACCTGATACTATCCACCTTTGCTCCAGTATGCCTTAAATTGATCAATCCTGATATCAGAAATTCTTAGGAGCGTGTCTGCGCAAAGTCTCGATGAAGCCATTATTGGGTGCAGTTGCAGTGCGTCTGTTCGGTGCAGTTAGTGAGGTGCCCGAACAATGACGTGGTAAGGCTTCTCTTTTCCATAGTGCCTTTATTGGAGCAGAGTCCTTCTTTAGATCCGAACTGGCTGATTTATTAACAGCCGTAGCCGGTAGTCCGTAGAGTGGCTTGCAACAGCGTGCCCTGCTAAACGGGCAGTTGGCATAGATGCTGCGTTCATTTCAGAGCGCAGTACTTTTAAGTGAAGTACCAAGTTGAAAACTTTGTATTTATTGTCTTTCTGTGTAGAATTTGTCCCACTCGCTCCTAAAATTTCTTCGGAAGCATCTTGTACACGGAGCTGGGCTCCCCGAGCTACTACTGTTCAAATTGTTCCTATTTTAAAAAATAAAAGATCAATTAGTTTTTTTTTGTAAAATTCTCTTCTGAATAGATTTCATAGAAAACGTTGTTTCCATCTCGACTCTACAGTTTAACTTATGGAGTCCCTTTTTATTAAAAACCAGTACTGTGTCTCAAGCGGGAGCTTCGTTTGAGTTTTGCGCGTGCCATACAACCACATGATTATAGGCTATATGGGGCGCCAAATTCCAATAGACAGCGAAGGAACGTATATGTTTTTAGATTGATTTTTTCGGGAAATCAAAGTGGCATAGGCAACGGCCAGTGGGAGAAAGCTGAAGCTAAGGAACAGCCAATGCAGCGGCGATGGCAACAACGGACCGGTTGACAACGAAAATGGGGTGCCCTAACCGTGCTCTAACCTTTGTTGTTTTTTCGATGGCCTGAGCAAAAGTTAGCGGATGTATGTCCATTCAATATTCGAGTGTGGTGCTGTGCTCCTTTCTACATGATCCGGATCACCTTTTTCACCCTGAAGGAAACCTTCTAGTTCTCCTCGTTTTCGTTCTATTTTGTCCTACGCCGAATTTTGTCACGCATCGACAATCTGACATTGCCTGGAAAAAGTTAGACAAAAGAGAGATCGCTGGCGGGGTCCAGAAGCCGGCATGTTGGTCTCGCCCTTCTCCTGCCGCGGCGCCTACATTTGCTCTCAGTTGCTTTTCGTTTACTTTTGCGTCTCAAAGCTACACTCCACACTTCGAACGGAATATAGTTTGCAACTATTTATGTTTTGGGAGTAGCACATGCAGGCGAGGGGCCTCACTACTGTCATGCCTACATCAGATAAATAATATTGTCGCGGCATTTCTTAGGTCCAAAAGAGAAATTTAGGTTTTTCAGCTACCAAAGATTTAGCGTGGGCCCCCGTGGTTCAGGCTGCGCTTATCGTAAGTAGGCTCTACAGAGCTTTACCCATGAAATCTGCCCTTAGGACCTCTGATGCTCCATGCTTTGCTATGTTAGTGTGACCTGGCGCCTAGGAATCCTACACAGGAAATATCTGTAGCTCACTAGAAAGACAAAAGAAGTACAGCGTGACTTGAGGACTGTGTCTCGCGTTGGCGTTTCTGTTGCTCAGAACTGAGTGCAAACCCACAGGAGCATGAAGAGTAGTTCTTATACTAAGCCGTAAGATTGAGGCCGCTTGCTGTTAGTGCTGCATGCGGCACTCCTAGAACATAAGCAGTTTGCAGATTATGTGCCGTTTAAAGTATGAATCGTACCTTTGAGGCAGGAAGGAAGCGAAAGGCAGGTGAGTGCGGCAATAAGCACCGCGCGAGCTGGTATTCCAGTGCCTAGGCAGCACCACCAGAAGGTGCAAAGCCGCTTACGCTGAAGCTTCCCGGGGGCCATGCTGTGGCAGTATTGTCTAGGTAAACCTTCAATTTTAGGTGGGTGAAGGGCCTAGTTTCTGTGATATCTGTGTAATGCAGTTCGTTCTACGATGATTTTGCAATGATTCGTTCCACCTCGAGGAGCGTCTGGTGTGCCGTCCACAACCGCACGCGAGAGCCAGACAAAGGTATGGTTGTGTAAACAGTGTTTGTGGAGTCAGCAGCTCCATGAACTTTCCAAAATCAAACCGACTAGGCAGAAGAAAAAAACTGGCATGGAATCAAATAACGGGGAACCTGCAGAGGCATGTATACGAAAGCCAGCGGCTACCTACCTCGGCACATGCCGACTAGTCTGCGGGGGATACCAGAAAATGAGTTTCAAGAGTGCCACACGACAGCACCGACAGCAGTTAGCCGCTTGTTGTATACCAACATACCAACAGTTATGCGGGAGCAAGTGCACCAAGGTGCGCCGATTGGCAAATCCCCCTACGCTGGCATTTGATGTCTGGGCAGAAGGGTGCTCGGGAGTAGAATATGTGGGAACTGAGCTGCAGCAATGAGGAGTGACAACAATAGTATATTTTGCGCTGAAAATTGTCTAAACTGAGGGCCAAAACAATTTTATGGAGCATGTATCCGCTGCGCCTTCTTTGGAAGAAGTAATCAATTTTACTTCAACCGCAGCTTCCAGCTTCTCTTACGGGAGCTCCGGTAGGAATACTAAATCATTGTGACGCTTCAAACAGCTCTCCTGGCCCGCTTGATACTGTTTTCTGAGGGCCCCTTGAAAAAGAAAATTTCCTTCTCTTTTGCTGCCCTACTGCTAATGATTATCGCTTACGGTTGGGCATATTCTATCAGACTAGAACTACTGCTAATGATTATCGCTCACGGTTGGGCATATTCTATCAGACTAGGTCCGTGAACATGTTCTCTGTTGCTACGTTACCCTCATCAGCTCCCTGAATTCTATTTACAAACTACCAACCAACGGCAGAGCTTTACGAGACCCTCCATTTACGGGAGTAGCTTTTCACAACTTCTCCGAGAGGAAACGTTGCTTGCAATTTACACACGAAATGCTTGCTCCGCTTTTGAGTGAATAGCCAGCCGAAACAGATGTTTTGTCGCGAAGTGGATTCTTCGTGCCACTGCATTGCTGATATCCACCTACTCATCCATAGTTAATTAAGTGAAATGCTGTTGTCGCTTGCCTCGCTGGGGCTGTTATCCGTCTTCATTGGCCAATATAACATGCTTCACATAATAAAACCAAGAATATAACACGCTTCACATAATAAAACCAAGAAAATAATTGAGAAGAGGCAAGCTGCTCCTGCGTGAGTACGACTATTGCTGCTTAAGGAGAGGTATTCTGTTGCAGCTGCGTGCAGAGCTCGACGAGAAAGCTGACGTAGTCATTACATGACGAGAGCAGTTGAAAAATGAAACAAGTAGCATTACGCAAAAGACCATTAAATTTCAATGAAACAGCTCGTCCTAAACGATGTTAAGGAGCAGCTTGGACCCCAAGGAATGAAAGGCGAGAGCCGCTTCGCACACACTCAGAGCACTTTAAGGTGCGACGGCGAAACAGAAGTGGGTGATTCAATAACTACAGCCGAGTGAATGTGTAAGAGCAGAACAATAATGGAAATTACAAAGCTTATAGCGTACGTGAACATGTGCGAGCAGGAGGAAAATGAGGGAAGATACGTAGTCTATAGTGGTGTTTGACCACCGATACGACATGCGTACCAGGAAGCAATGAAGTAAGGGATGCTCTCTGAGTTTACCCAAAAGATGAAAGGGCGATTGGGAGGCCTTAGGAAGGAAAATGCATTAGCGCAAAACTAGAAACAGAAGCTCAGAGTCTCCAAAGGAACTTGGAGAACACCCCTTTCTCCAGGCGTCTTCAGCGGGCACGGGCACAGATCGCATGTGAAGGGAAAACAAAAGGCCATGCTCTTCTTAGATATCTTTCGAAAGTGCTAAATGCTCTAAAGGGAGTGGAGGAAGTATTGATCACTCAACGGAGTTGGACGCTTCCGCCATACCCGCACTCATGGAACTGTCATGGGGCCCTGATCCGCTCATTGCATCTATGCGCCCCAGTGTGACATTGTTACAGGCTTTAGGCCGTGCAGCCTGCTTAAGAAAGATACGAGAAACCGCTTTTCCCGCTAACAAGCACGGCCGAGTGTGTATTTCGATGCATGCATGCTGGGCCCCATCGACCGCCCCACGAGTAACGGGGCTGACGCGGCTCGTAAGATTAGCGAAAGACGAATAATAGGCAGAATATATAACCCGTCTCTCTCTCTTCTTCCGACAATGCCCTTCTTTGATTTCTTGCGGCGCGGCGACCAGCGTGCCGACGGGTGCCGCCAGCGACGGGGAGAGTCAGTCCGGGGTGGTCGTTCAAGATGTGCGTCATCGGTCTCTGTAGGGAAGGATGATTCGCCTGCAGTTGCCCGCTGTTCAGAGAAAAGCAGTGGATTCTTGGGGGTCCCAGGCCTGGGCTTCTTTGGTGGCTCGAAGGAGTCGCAATCAGCTTCCAGCGACGCTCCGGCCGCTGTGGACAAAAGAGAAAAGGCTCGTTTAGATACTCTGGCAAGAGAAAATGAGCAGACACCAGAGCCTCCAAAGAAGCCACAGTCAGTATACACTTTGTTCCCTCTGGCTTTCTGCTGAAGCCCAGCACAGTGTTCTCGCACTGCGTACTCGCACTGCGTACTTCAACGAGCGTCCCTTCTTCTGGGCGCAAATATTTCCACTTTGAATTCATGAAAATAAAACGCACTGCCACATATTGCTGGATATATGCTGGAATTCATGGCACAATGCATTGCTGCTTGTGCATCGGTCCAATACCGCAGACCCACGCAGCCAATACCCTTTGAGCATTTTTCTCGAGAATGGATGAACATCTCCGGTCAAGACACTTTTGATGGGTTCCGTTTGGAAGGTGCAAAACAGGTAAGTAGCTGCCTCCAGCTGCTTTTCCCGCAGCTTCTCTTCGAAAGGTTGCCACTGGTGTGGCACGAAAGACTTGGAAGGGCTGGTGAATATGTTACTGTTCCTTGGTGATCCAGGTAAATAAGTACCTCCAAACGTGCCACAGCTTCTGCCTTGGGACCCAGCTACGTGAGTCTGGGTACTCGTATCAGTTTGGCCCAACGGTGGCAATCTCGCCCCCCCCAGATCCAAGCCAGGGCGAGAACGCCCAGCCACCGCCGCCGCATTTTTTTGCAATGGCAAAGCTTGGCACGGATGGATCGCTTCAAGGCAGGTGAGATGGCGCGGAACTAAGAAAGGGTGTTCTATTGCCGTTTCAGGCACAGGCAGAACTTATTTGTGAGCCGGTCGTAGCCAATGTCGTGCCAAATATACATACATCAGCACTCAGAATCGCGCAGATGAATGATTTATTCCAATGCCATTCATACTGATTTAAGGCCAAGTTTTCATTCAGTAGCATGCGCTACGCACGTTTGGATCGTGGCTTTTGACTGTCCAGACTTATAAAGACTCTCTGCCAGAGTGCAGACCTCAAATTGAACTTCAACTCGTCTCTCAAAGACGAGCAGCGGAATTTTTATGAAATTTCCCTCGATAATACAGGCCGGGACTGGGCCTCGTCTTTGAAGGTCGCCTGGCAGTGTACGCGAAGAGCTCAGAATACGAAAGTCACCTGCAGCAGTCGCTTGGTAGCTCTTTTCTTTACAACCAGGAAAACAGATTTCTCAAATTATCGCGCAGTTCGTGAGGGATACGGGGAAGCTTACAGTGTGTGTGCCAATGCAGCCTGTTGGATTTTGGACGGAATGTTTTCTCAAGTACTGACTCCAAGGCTGCAGGCCGGCTGCGAAATAACTTACGTGGCAAGTTGACCGCTGCAAATAACTCACAACTCAAGGGTTTTAGTCTTCATGTTTGAAGAGTCTGCAGTTTCTTTCTTCGCGAGAGCCTGGTGCAGTTCCAGGCTTTCTTGTGCCTCATCTAAAACGATCCCTGTTTTGCTGTGCGTCACAGGGTGCCAATGGTGCCTCGATGTTGGCTGTGGGGGGCCGTTACAACCTTGACAAACAGTCGGTTGTCTCATGTAAGTTGCTTTGTGCCTAGACTACAGGCTGGACTTCAACATGGTTGAAAACTGGGTAGCATTGTGAGTGAGGGTTTGAATGATACGGCTGCGATATCTGTCGGTTCGTGACTTTACTGTGCTATTCCCATGCAATATTTGCAGGTCAACTGAGTCAACAGCCAGATTTCAAGTCTCCTGCGGGTCTTACAAAGCTTACGCACACCTGCAAAGTGCAGTATGCCAGAAAGGTACGGCTACGACGGATGAGTGCACTTTGAACAAAGCCCAGCCGATATTGGCGTTTAGAGGATACTCGTATTGATAGTTTCTTCCTGAATTGATGATCCATGTGTGAACTTCTCGACAGCTGCGGGAATGTAGTTCTGTTGATCTAAACATTTTTAAAAGCTAGTGCACCCAGCCAATAACACCCATTCGACTGGGTTATTTCTTTCACAAGAACGCGCAACTGCTACATTGCGCGATGAGTAGATTGAGGCTTGCTTTCAGGTTACAGACAGGCTCTCCATGGCGTCGGAGTTCGAATATAGCCACCCAGAAACTGAGTCGGCGTTGAGAGTGGTACACTCCCGCACGCATTCATCCAAAAGAGAATGCTGACTGTGTAGACTTGTGGGGTAGACCTCGTTGGGTCTTGCGATGCGATTGTGTGCACGCATTCATCCAAAAGAGAATGGTGACTGTGTAGACTTGTGGAGTAGACCTCGTTGGGTCTTGCGATGCGATTGTGTGCAGGGTTGGGAGTACCTCTTCCGCCAGGCTCGAGTACAGGGGCTCATAGACAGTTGCGGGCGAATATCTGTCTTTGCACAAGACTACAACGGATTTGGCGTTAGTGGGTTGATAGACTATTGGAGGGGCACGTACAAGTTCGGGTTCCTCATGCACGTCGTACCCCCCCCTGAAGCTTCGCCGTCGCAGCCACAAAACTAACTGTTCTTGGCCTCGGGTTGTGAGCTACGCAGTCACTATCTATCTGATACTTTGTTCCCTGGCTGGCAGAGGTGCACCCTCTGAGGCTAGTTCACCTGACTTCCGCTCTCTCTAAACATGTGCCTAACTTAACTTTGTGCATCCCGCAAAGTAACCTACATGCAGCAGGTCCCGTACTAGAGAACACGCAGATTACTAAGACGGACAGACAGGTTGGAAAAAATAGCTAATCACTGTTTGATAAACGGCGAGCTCTTGCTCGGCCAGTAGACTCGGCGTACTGGACCCCACGAGTTGAACTCACACGAAGGGCCAGATATTTTCATCGCGGGCGCCCGACTAGCCAACGAATATTAGATATGGCGCCCAGGATTTACATCCACTTTAGGCATGGCCCGCTCTGGGTGCCTATACTTTGATCGCTCACAACAAAGACGGGCCACGGAGGGCTCCAGCGTCCTCCCTCTACATTCCCGGCATTAGAGGGTCTTCTGAAACCTCGTCTGGATCAGGAGACTCTGGCACGGGCTCCAGAAGATGGGGCTTCCTCTGGGCGTCCTGCGCAGTCAAGTCTGGCACTGGCTCAACACCGGCGTGCTCCAGGTCCAGTGGGCTGGGCGCCGGGGGGAGTACCGGGGCGCTTGGTTGGCCCAACCGTTTGTCCCCAGCGCTGCCCAATCCTTGTACCATCAACCCCAAGGCTGAGATCGCGGCTCCGAAACTCGTAATGAGCTGCTTTACACCGAATGGATGGGGTTTGGGCCTCCCGAAGCACGGCTCATCTGGTAGCTTCGGTGGCTCAGCAACTTCCTCATGAACCTCTGCTTCTCTTGGATTCCCGTTCTCGGAAAATTGTTCGCTGCCTGCCTCCACGCGCTTCTCGACTCTCGTTCCCTCACCGCTAGAGGAACCCGCCTGTGCGCCCCTGAGGCTTCCCTGTGGCTGGTCCATTTTCACGCAGATTGGACAAAGTGACGCTCCTCAAAAATGTAAAAAGTACCGAGCTGTATAGTTCAAAAATAAAGTATAGTAGCGCAAAGTTGCACTTCAAAATATGGTGCTCCGCGGAAGTTACAACTGGACGTTCGCTCACCGGTAGAGGGAGCATGCTGGCGGTGCGATCTCGCTCGCGTTTTGGCAGGCGGGTGAGCGACAAGGAAAGCGGCACGCAAAGCGCAAAGCGGTTGCGAAGGAATAGTACGTCACTACAAAGTTATAAATATAGATACTATTTTTTAAACACAGATTTCCATCTATTTTACTAGCTCCACGCGTGCTGCCTCCTAGACTTACACTTGGAACAGGCTGCACGTTAACGGTCTACCTGGTTAACCCAATCGACGGAGGCGCTCTGCTTCAATCTGACAACCTTCTAATCGCTTCAATGGCGACAAACTAAATTTAAATTTAACTTTAAGGATGGTTTGCGAATGGCAGAGGGATCTAGGCAATTTGAAAGATCGAAAGGGTTACTTCATGGTCGCGGTGTGTATATGCGCGTCGAGCATCACTTCCACAGTAGTACGCCATTAAACTGGACCCATGAAGACACAATAAAGTTCTCAAGTTTGATAAAGGTGGTCCAAGAGCGTCAACATGACAATGCGCTGACGACGTTTTTAATCATTGTTGTATACTCAAATTGGAACTGCAGTGTGGAGTATGAAACTTTCGTTAGATGTATCGTTGGGGAAGTCGTATCAGGCCTAGTGAGCCAAAGGTATCGCTATGTCACGTAGATGCCCTTGCGCAGTATTATGTACTTAAAACAATGCTTAAATCGAATCACGTATGTTGGGGCCTGGCCAGTGTCCTGGACTAGGGTTTCTTCGGCATGCGCCCATGCTTGGATGGGCTAAAGAACAGCATTGTGAACTTGCCGAAAGTAGAGCCATGTGAGCATGCTGTCCGACTGAACAGTTCGAGGGAACGCCGTGAGCGTATGGGATGCAAGACTTGATTCGCTTCTGTAACCCCAAAAGGGTACTTGATATTTGCAGAACAGCACCCCCGTTGCTTTCTCTCCTTGCACATCTAAGTATCAATAGTTTTAGTGTAACTGGTGCATGGCTTTGTTCCCACTTGCGGGGTAGTAGCTCTGCCAACTGTTATATGGTATGACGCAACACAATACGCCTTAGTGAGGCAGGAATTGAGAAGCTTCGCAGTTAGGTACTGGTCAGCACAGGCCTCAAACAAATTTTGAAGAAGCAGCAGTGCTGAATATTCCACTTTACAGAAGGAAATGTATTGTCGCCTAACCAAAGGATCCGCTATAGGGAAAGCACATGTTTAATGCTTGTGGTGATTCACTTGTTAAAAGTATTTGTGAGCGCCATCGGATTGGGAAAAAGCAGCCGTAACGTCTAGCTGAACAATTTAGCAGCACCGCCACTTTTTCTCTTACCAGTATGCCTAACCAGGCATGAAATTATAACGCTATCGGGAGTGTCCGCGGCCTGGAAGCATGAGAGTAAAGAATAAAGCTAGGCGATGCTAGTTTGTAGCGTGTTAGCTGGGGAGTTTCTCTACTTCAGTAAGGCCTTATCAGGACGCTACACAAAGAACTGGAAAAAAGATAGCATGAAGCAAATTGAACAGGATTTTAAACCACAGCCAGGATCAGCTTGGGCAAGAAACCACCGGAAATGAACCCGCAATACTTTGAATTAGGAACTGTCACAGTCTCGTACAATTTATAGCTTTTCTGAATAGGGACATGATGAATTGACCGAAGGCACACTGCATTTAGATCTTGCCCAGCCATATCAAACCTGACTAGGGCGAAAATGACTGTCCATTCCCCACAGGACCTGCACAAATACAGGGAGACTAGCGATTTTGGCTCTGGGCTTTCTTAAAAAGATTCACTACTGGCAAGCATTACCACCTGAGATGTGGCCTGCAGATTCGAATACTGCTCGCTCCCTGCGTAATCTTGGCCTTCACTCCGTGGGCTGGCAGGCGCCTCTCTTCAAGCCGTTCTCTGCACTGTTGCAGCTTTAAAAAATTCATTCTTTTTCTAGCCTTTACCACAATTACCTGTGCATAAGAATATGCAGTGCTCTGGAGATAGCGCAGCCGGCTCTAATATCCTCAGGGGAGAATGACAGCCATCAATAACGGTGTAAATCTAGCGAAGTGGCAGCAATTTCAATTACACTCGAGAGCGGTCACAGGTGCTTCTCATTTTTTTCCAAGCATTTTATGTATGAGTTTGCTTCAACGTACTGCTGCTCCTGGGATACGGGGGCAGCTGCGTCAGTGTGCTGCCCATTCGGAGTGTTGCATAAATAGGGGAACCGTCTAGTGCCCTTTATTCGCTAGTGTGTACCAAAAATGACGTGCTTTTGTATCAGGACCCAAGCTTGAGTAGGTCTGAACAGGTAGAGGCTACAGAGGAAGCTCACATGAGGACGACTTCGTGAAAAATAAGCTATAAATCACCAAGCACTGCCTTTTAAGAGAGGATCCACAATACGGCACAGCCAATGGCCAGGTAATCAGGATGTGCATAGGGACGATTTGAACTTTTTTCCAGAAAGTGAGAAGCTGTCTGGTGTGCTTGGTACTTTGACATTGGCGTAAAGCCGTGGGCTTCTACACAGAAGCGCTTCCGCAGCAAATGATAAGCACAACTTTTCGGAGTAGTGAGAAAAAAGCCCAAAGATTATTATCGCGTAAACTTAAGAAACAAGCAGTCAGTTAAGCTGACCTGCCGGCAAGAACCAGCAAACTGATCGCAGATGATGCGACACGTGCCTGTTGCGCACATGGAACTGCGTTCTGGAGCGAACACACACAATTCGCACTAGTAAGCTTTACTGACCAGAAATCGCTTGTGCCTGTAATATATTTCATTTGAATAATTCAAGACTATGTGTGTACATCTCTGCATGTGATCAGAACCAGTAGCCCTGAGCGGCCAATATGCTATGTCTTGTACGTTGAAGAGCCCTTCGCCCCACACCTCGAAGCTCTAGCATCATGGTCACCAACTTATTTGTTTAAATCGGCTTTAAGAATCTATGGATGTCTCACTGGCAGGGAAGAGGTCTATCCTGAATGCCGCTGGCGAAAAGTCTCTCATCCATCAATCGACGCTACATGTCCCCTGGCATCGTCTGCGTGGCGGCACAGGCAACAACTACACGAGTTACAGCCGGCATCACCGTGACATGTGTCAGCTATTAAGTAGGTTAATGCCATAGCTGCTGTGTTTCAATGGTGTTACTGCCGCCGGCAGCAGCAGCCGCCGGGGGCTGTTTACGTTCCGTAACAGAGATACTAACTGCGTTTACAAAGAGATTCGCAACTGTGTCGTTAATATGTGGCTTGTCGAAAATGAAGTTCGGGACCTCTTCGGTGGTCTTGCCTCTTCACAGCTTTACCCTTTTGGGGAGCTCTCCGTGTCAGATGCATACCCGTAACGACGTGGCTGCTACAACAGCTCATCGTAGTTTCGCTCGTATGCGTAGGATGCGGCAGCAGGAGCCACTGGTCCCGAGTGATGAGAATTCCACGGAAGAAGCAGGCGCTGACGATACGCTGACAGTTGTACAGCGAGTCCTGGCGGTAGGGGAACACTAAGCCTCATGGTGGACCAGCAAACCTCACTGGGAACAAGTACGTTATGTGTGACTTCCTCCAGGACAAGGTCGAGGCATGACGTGGCTGCGTGCGAGACTGCTGCAGGCAGCACAAGGCCTAGCTACACCACGTAGCAGCGCCTTCTGGGCGTCGCAACGAGAGCAAGTGCTAAAGTTGCTGGAGAAGGGGCAGCTTTCGCTGTCCACTGCCTCCCTGCTAGTTGCAGCTTTCTCAAGGACGGGCGAACTGACGCCGCCCGTAGCCACCACAGTGGCCAAAAGACTAGGTAAGGCATTCCGAGCTGCCGCGCGAGGAGGCGCTGCTCCTCTACTGCTGGAGGAGAAGCAAGCTTCCCAAGAAGAGGCTTTGTCGGAAACCGACGAAACGGACTTTCGAGTCCATTTCTCAGATGCTGCGACAGTTCTCCTCGCCATGAAAGAAGCAGATCTGCTGACTGACAGCTCCGTGGAAGCTGCAGCTCAAGCACTGCTGCAGGAGTTGTTGAACTGCGTGCAGCTCCAGTGGGCTGTTATGACTTTCAGTCAGCTGCGCCGGCTTTTGCTGCTGTTGGGGGCCATAGCAGAGCCTTTGGGCCTTAGCGCAGCAACAGCACAGGAGCTGCTAACAGTGACAAAGAAGCAGCTGAGGAAAATGCAGAAAAGCCGCCAACTGGTCGAGGAGAGACGCTTCGGCGAAAGTATTGCATTGCTTTGGCCCTTAGCAATCATTTCGGACGCCCTAAAGCTGCCGCTTCCGGATAGAAGGAATCATCAAGCAGCAGCTGGCTTCCCTGCATGCAGCAGCACAGAAGATGCCATGGAGTTGCTACGAAGAGATAGAGACATAGTGCTGCATCTTTTGAAAGACCATCTTTACCGTGCGATTTCATCTCGGCTGCCTTGCAGTGCCTTCGACCTCGCGCTTGTCAGTGTGCTGCTGCAGCTGCTGCTGTTGCTGCCGAGCTGGCTGCACTGTGCTGTCTTCTCTTGTAGAGGTGCGTCACGTGAAGTGTTACTGTGAACGCAGTGGGTCAGTGTCAACATGTGTGTGCTCAGGGCTTTGTTGGATTAGACCGACTGGGTCAGCAAATAAGTGCAGAATACGTATTAGCCGCCTTTTCTGCAGCAGCCGGAGAGGCGACTGCTGAGCAACTTTGTCGTCTAGGGAGGGATATCCTAATGACAGGAGCCCGCCAAAAAGCTCTGTGGGATATATTCGCCGTTGCAGCGGATGCTGCTCTCCGTCAACTGCAGCAACAAGATGTAGGTGAACAGCAAGGCAATATACCCGATTTTGTCGAAGCAGAATTGCGTCAGTTACTGCACTTTTGTGGCCGAACGAATTAGCCATTCTGCACCTAT